GAGAGAGAGAGAGAGAGAGAGAGAGAGAGAGAGAAAGATGGGGTGGGGAATACATCAGTTACTCAGGTGACAGAGAATTACGTAAACTTACAATAACATTGTATTACGGTCGACCTGGTAGATCAAGGGATACAACCCAAGAAATACAGAAAGTAAAAGAGGACCAAGATTTTGCAGCATTGTGTCCCTTGATTTTGATTCAAATTTTTTGTCTTTCTGAATGGGTTTGCTTCTCGCCCCTTTGGCAGGCTTTTAGAATCTCTCATTTTTTTCCAACAACATTCAGAAATGATGTCTAATCATCTCCTTTGATCAATTCTAATTGAGGGTTTGTTTTGCTTTGTTTGGGGCTTTTTCGGGATTTCTTTTCTTTTTTTTTCTTTTTTTTTTTTGGAAAGGGGGAGGGGGCGTGTTTTTGTTTGCATTTTTGGGTTTGGGTTTTGTTTTACACTGTTTTTTTGTTTGTCTTGCTTCCATACTCAAAAACAATTCATCGTTTAACTCAACCAGACAGTAACAATGCACTTCACATAATATGTTTATTATGTCTCTTTGTTTTCATCAAACTTAATAAATGTAGTGTTTTGGAGAGATAAATTATATTACTACAGAAAATGCTTTTCAATTTTGGAGGTACAGATTATTATAGAATAATAAACTACAAGGCTTTGGGGGGAGAACTGTTTTTCTCTCCCAGTCGGAACAAAATACAAGAAAGAGAGAAAAGAGTTCTAAAAGTTTGTGCATCTCAAAACATATGAAAATACACACAACCAAACAAAAGCAAGGTGACGATTATATGTCGGTGAAAACAACAACAATAATAACAACAACAACAATAACAAAACAAGCTTTAGTTTAGTTTTAGTAAGAGTTTTACGGCACTTGCAACACAATAAGGCCAAATAAGTGCCGAAGATTAGAGGTGTTACTAGAGAGTGACAAACACAAAAAAGAAGAAGGGGAGATCAGAACGATAGATGTTCGATAGGAAAGAAGGAGCAAACCACACCAGAGCACCCTCCAACCACTCGCGATTATATGTCAGTGAAAAGAAGAACAACAACAAAAGAATAAAACAGAACAAACAAACAAACAAACAAACAATAACGAACCAGAATACAAGATTTAAAAGCTAACTGTACTCACCTATAGCTCTTTAGGGTAAGCTGCGTGTCACACCTGAAACAAAGCAAAACAAAACGATAAATGTTAGTGTAATAAAACAAAAAAACACCACAAACGTAAATGTGTATATATATA